TACTTAGTTTTGAATAAAAATATTCGAAATATTTCTTTAAATAATGTGTGCGGTAAATTATAAATAATCATTGTTATCGATAAAATCATTGTTATCAATAATCTATACTAATATTATAAAGAGGTAAAGTTTGTGAGATTGTTAGTTTGTGACGTTGTAGGTGGTAATCTCTGGATCTACTAAACCGATTTAGATGAAATTTGGTAAAAAGATAGTTTGAGACCCTGGAAAGGACATAGAATACTTTTTATCCCGGAAATCATCCCTTAAGGGGGTTAAAATGGGGATGACAGTTTGTATGAGGAATTACGCTAGAGACGAACCCAAGTGAAGCCGGGGTGAGACGCTAGCTATCAATAATTATAATAACTGGCATTAAATGTTTGCAAGCTTGAGTACTTAACGAGTTTTGTTTTTGTTTTTTTATTAATCTATTGATACACGCCATGATTTTCAATAGAAATCGGTGCGCGTCGCCATTTAAAAGATGAATTAAATATAGATTATGATTCAAAATAAAAAAGTCTAATAATAAATTGTACTAAATTAAAAAAAAACTGTTACTTTTAGATTTTACTAATACTCGTATATTATTAATCATACGGCAAGAACTAATAAAACTCCCTTGGATGTAATAAAACAATATAAAAATGTTTTTTTTGTTCATACGAGAAAATTTTATATATCTAAAATTTTCTTCATTTTCCAATTTATGTGTTATGTATTTAACTCAAAAGTGCTCATAAATATATACGTGAAAAGTTAGTCGCCAGTGTAATTTAGTTTTATTCCGTCCTCTGTGACCATCTGAGCAGAAAATTCATTTGTATTTCGAGGCGTTACCTTATTACGCTTTGCTTTCTTTCCTTTAATGTGATTCTATGTACATAAAATTAAGATAACCAAATTTATAAAACAAATTAAATTAAAAGAATAATGTTATAATGTAAATTTATGTAAAATATATTGATGTTTCTATTTATTTCTTCATAATTAGTATTTGATGTAATTTGTATCTATACATATAATAAAATTGTAACTAAGCCGAATCTGTACATTAAATATTTTTTGGAAAATCTTATTGAAATAAACATTATTATCGATACAGAGGCCGAATTTATAGTTTTTAGAATTTTTGTCTGTCTGTCTGTCTGTCTGTCCATCTGTCTGTCTGTTACCGCATCACGAGAACTGGACAGATTTTAGATTTTTTTTGAATTTTTGTCTGTCTGTCTGTCTGTCTGTCCATCTGTCTGTCTGTTACCGCATCACGAGAACTGGACAGATTTTGATGAAATTTGGTTTGATGATAGCTGGTTATCCGGGTCAACATATAGGATACTTTTTACCGCGGGAAAATATCTCATTTCTGAGTAAAAATACAAAAACTGCAATGTAAGAGTATACTAATATGTAAAACTTAAGAATTTGGTATTTTGGTCATCTGAACGCGGGCGGAGCCGCGGGCAATGCTAGTCTACAATATGTAAATGATTTAAAAACGTAACGCACGTCAACACTTATACCTCATTCCTCACTTAGTGCTCACTTTAGTTATATTATAAGGTACTTAAGGTACTCTCATTCAAAATTTCATACTTCTAGATTCAGTGGTTGAGGTTAACGGTCAGCGAGTGAGTGCATAAAAAAATTTTTTACGTAAATTTTAAGATGTAGGCTTCGATTTGTGGGCCTAAACATAGATTTAATAAACATGTACCTAAGTGATGCTGCAAAAACAATAAATGTTATCTAATATCAGAATTATTTTAGTAAAACTCGTATAGAAGTGGAAAAATGAAAATAAGATGACAACAAATTATTTATATGCTTAAAAAGGTTATATCACTAACTCTAGGGCCGGAAATTTTGAGTAGAACAATATCTGATTTTCATATTATGGTAACGCGCTCGCTTGGGAAACCGAGTGAAGCGGGTTCAAATCCCGGTTCTCGCACCTCTGATAATTTCATGTGCGAATCAATTATAACATGATTACCACTTGCCTTACGGTGAAGGAAAACATCGTGAGGAAACCTGCATGTCTGAGAAAACCTAGCAAGTTTTCGAAAGGCATGTGAAGTCCACCAACCCGCACTTGGCCAGCGTGGTGGACTATGGCCTGATCCCCCTCGTACTGAGGAGGCCCGTGCCCAGCAGTGGGACGTTAAAAAGGGCTGAATACAATACAATACATATATTTTTTAATAGATTAACCATTTTATTATACTTTTTATTATATTAACGAATTACCATTAAAATTTTCGATATGATTGTCTTATGTTAATATTTTAATTCTTTTCCCTTATCACGCAACTTACAATTTTTTTGGACAAAATCTATGAAAAAAAATTATCGTTTAAACTCGAGTAAATATTGACTTCAATTACGATAAAGTATCTAAAATATCTATAAAAATTGTAAAGAAAATCCGAATAACGCACATAAAAACACTGCCATTTTTAATTTATGTAAACATCCAAAGAGAATTTTGGCGAGAGAGAATATATTTTTGATATTAAACTACATTTCCATATTAAAAAGAGATTATAATATCATTTCACAAATTGAAACGTACGATTTCTGTTAATACATCTACACAAAGCTACGGATCATGCACCCAATTCGTTTCGTAGTTTTATTTCTAAAGCTCTTTGCATTGCAATTTTCTACTTGTATGCTGTCAGCGCACTTGACATGGTTTTACCGTTGCATATTAAAAGGGACCATTATGCAAAGTACTGTAGGATAGCGACAATTTGAATCTAGTTACATATTCTTTGCAGATGATAAATATTGTGTTAAAATTATTCTATATTTTAACTTGTTTAGAGGTCGTTATAACTGCTTTTAGTTAAATAAATTATATTTTTAAACGTTTTACTTAGTATTTTATAAATATACGTTGTTTTTATGTGTTCATGAGAAGAGGAATATGAATGTGGTTGTGGGTAATAGCGTGTTATGAAATTGTATTAGTGCTACCACAGATTATATAATATACTATATGTGCTACGATACACGTTAATAAAACAGTTTAAGTCTGATTTTTAATTCGACGGAATTCTGACATTTCAGAAGTGTTGTCAACTTTGAAACATTGTCACTAAAAACGGAAAGCATTTTAGCAAAATAAAAAAATAAACCTTTCTTAAATTTAAGGTTTCAATTAGAAAAACTAAGATTTAAAAAAATATTGCTGACTCTAAAATGGTAAAAATTTTTTTTATTATCATATTATTAAAGTTACAATAAAATGATTAAGGAAATTATTTTTCTATTACAGGAATCCCTGCCCAATAATCCATTGGTTGCAAGCCTTTTTTAGGAAAACCCCTTTGCTTGTAAAATATTTTGTTTTACTCTGTTTTATTCATTTAACCATTAAAAATTTACATTATAGTTAGCGTGCATTGAATGCACAAAACAAAGACTATTTACAATGTCATACATATAGTTTACTTGATCTAATTCTGTTTCACATTTTTTTTAATTATATATTAAAAAAAAATCAAAGCAGAAAAGGTTTATGATCAATTCAATCAATTCTCTTGCTAATGATATCTGAATCGTCAAAGAATGACAGCTGTCATATTTCCGTGGAATTAAAAATCAGACTTTAGTAATAAAGTTTGTCAAAAGTGTCGCTACCGGCATAAAATATTATTACCAATGCAAAAGGCACTTACGAACACCCGAACGAAGTAACGAGTGTAATTTACTAGTTTTTTTAATATAAGAAGCAAAAGTAAAAGATTTCAATAAAACAAGAGGCAACATACTTATTTAGCTTCAACTGTTTTCGACATAATATACATAAATAAATAAATATGTCAGGACGTTAACACACAATACCATCTAGTTCCATGGTAAGCTACATTGATAGTTGATACATTATACATATATAATTTTAAATACATACATATTACAAATATAAACACCCATGACTGGAGTACAAACATTCGTGCTCATCACACAAATGAATACCCCCAGCGGGACTCGAACCTGCGACCGCTGGCGCAGCAAGTAGGGTCACTACAAACTGAGCCAAACGTGTCGTCAAATATATATATTCTGTCAATCGCATATATACATTCTGTCAATCGCGAATTCATGCATAAAACCTTTCTAATGTCACATCAAATTGAACTGAAACAAGTTCAAAGGAGTCACAATAGAAGTAATTTTATTTTCTAAGGCATTTCTTTAGGTAAAAATTATAGTACGAGTAATACGATTCCACTTGATTTCTGACCTCCGGCAAGAAAGCAATCGCTTTATGATTCTTTTATAAATTTTTATCCTGTAACCACGGTATTATATTTAGAAAGGTCTGTGAGAGAAAGGAATTTTCTTAGTAAGAAAAATGTATGCACCATTATCTTGTATAATTTCAATGTTATGCATCTATACTAATATTATAAATGTGAAAATAACCTAAACCTATCTGTATATATGTATATTTTTTTATTTTAAAATATGTATGTAGCATCATGGGGAAGTACTTCCTTTCGTTCCTATCTCACTTACTATACAAGTAAAGCCGCGGGCGAAAACTATAATTTTGTATGTCTTGCCTTACTGAAAAATTTATTTAATTAATTTTAGAAAATACTTCTTGAAACCATAATAACTTTTATCACAATTACTCTATAAAAACACTTTCTACTCGATATCATCGCCAATTCTAAAAGAATTTTCGGAATTCTTTTTTTTTTATGAATATTGTCATGTAAAAGTCAAGATATTTCTTAGAAACTAACTATGAAAAAAAAGTTTATAAAAATTTAATTAGATTATAATGAAAGTGTTAGCCGAAATCGCCTTGGAGGCTTAAAGGGAATATCCTATGAGAACTTATACTTTAATCGTAATTATCGTATGAGATCGCAAAGAAAAATGCATTACGATAAATAAAACGGACCGAATTAAATTAAGTATTAAAGGGAAATAAATGATTTTTACTTATAAATTATTTATACTTGTATATTTGTTCTCAGGTCGCGTGGATCAGAGCTGACGATCAAACAATCCTGACGCTGCACACACGTTTGGTGACTCATAGCTCTCGTTACGCAGTCACAAACGACTCTCCCGGGTCCTGGCAGTTACATATCCGACCTCTAAAAGTAGAGGATCGAGGTTGCTATATGTGCCAAATCAACACCAGTACTATGAAGAAGCAGATTGGTTGTGTTGATGTGTTAGGTAAGGACGTTTTAATTTTTGTTTTATTTTAGCTACACTCATATGCAGTCTTTAATGTAACCGAAAATATATGAAATAACTTATATATAAATTATATATAAAATATATATGAAAATGAAATCAATCTTCATTTTCTTTTAAAGGAAAGAAAAAAATTTGAATTTTGGGCTCCTTACGTTTGTTTTAAGACGAATGATATTGTCTCCCCAGTCAGTTTAAACTCAGACGCAACGGTACATTTTATTTAATATTTCGTAGGTTGATATGAATATTTTACATAGAAAGAAAAATATTTTACAAATTATATTTTATCTTTATCTTTTTGAAAATTAGTTTTGTTCTTATTCATTTACCTTACTTAAATAAAAAAAAATTCGTAACACAAAATAGAAGCTCGTTTCGTTCATGCCCTAACTACAATCGGCGCCTCCTTTAGCATTTTTTGTTATATCCCGAGGGAAAAACTTGACGTGCAGGAAAAAAGTAAACTATGTCATACTCCGACCCATTCGCTATCTGTATGCTAAAAATCACAACGATCCATTGTTTTCCTATGAAGAACTAACTAACAAACAAACTTACACTATATAGTTTATCTTTTTGGATTATTTCGCGGATTTATTTTGTTTTCTGGTTCCCGACGTTTCGAATGCTTTACAGCATCCATGGTCACGGGAGACACTAAGGTTATAGACGTATCAAACATTTGTTAATATTGACTATGTACATAAATGTACAATGTACATATATATATATATATAATGAAAATCGGACTACTATTATTTATACGAAAGTGTGTATGTGTGTATGTGTAGTGTTTGCTTGTTACTCCTTAACGCTGGAAAGATTGGACGGATTTGCAAGGAATTTAGTACACGGTAAGAACATAACTTACTAATATAATAATGATATTAGTAAGTTATATAGAATATATATGAATTCAGCCCTTTTTAACATCCTATATATTGCTGAGTACAGATCAGAATTTGAGGGAATCGGGCTATTGTCCACCACGCTAGCCAAGTGCGGCCAAAACTAGATAAGCTTTCTCAGACATGTAAATACCTCCTTACTTTCCTTTATCTCTTCTCTCTTTTTAGTTGATTGCTGAATGGAGTTGAGAATGATTCGTTTATAAAAATGTTACAGGTGTTTGTATTGAGGACTTTGGGTTTGAACCCGCTTTTCTAAGTTTTCCAAGCGAGCGCACTTCCCACTGACCTATGCATATGCAGAAATCATTCATTCATTCAAATCGTTCAGATAATGGCCACAATCGATAGTGTCATTATATAGATTGTGTCTATTGTTAAACACGGTTGACAGTTGACCTGCTCATGTTTCTAGTAATAACGATCTAAAATGGAAAGATATCTTACGCATTTGGTAGAATAAAAGTTCTATTAAAAATTTTATGCTTCACTTCATTTTATAACAAATACTGAATATTTATACAAATTTACATAATTACTTTATAGAAGAATATTCTGAAATAATGAAACCGCATAATTCATGGGTAGTTATTCATGTGGAAAAATTGCAATTTTATGGTGTGTTTTCGGTGTTTATATGTAACCTACATGATATAACCTTTATTTTATTTAAAAAAAAATCGATTTGTTAATTAAGAATTATTTTAAATCGATTTAATTGATTTAAACAATAAAGCGAACAAAATATGGTATCACACCTATCTGAAGTATCATACCTACAACGCAAGCAGAGTTACACAACTAATTTTGATAAAAGCTAGAGTTTGTGTTAACCCACTATAATATATTTTCATTCCGAACTTTGCATGGCATTGACAGACGTGTTAATTAGAAGTTTTCAAACGGGTTGGATCGCCAACGAATATGTACAGTAAGTTTAAAAGTTTGCCTACTTAAAGTGACATACGTATTATGAGGAAAAAGGTTGCTCTCTTGTACATCTATCAATCCGTTGAGATTTAGATAGAGACTTTTGCATAAATAATGTATACGTATAATAAAAGAGTAAAAGTGAAAATGTACATGTAATATTTTGTAAAAACAATGAATGTTAGGTCGTATTATGTATCTACTGAGTATTGATCGTCTGTTTGTTTGTATATCTGTGTGCATTTCACATTTAAAGTACGGAACGACTTTTAACTAAATTTTATGGGGAGATAACTTTAAGATTTATTAAACTAGTTAGAAAATAGTTATGGCAAAAGTGTGGGGTATGGTGCATATAAAAAATTACGGATGCGTCATTACTGTACTAACGACTAGGTAATATTAAAAATCAACGAAACATATTTCGTATTTTATTATTTAGTATTCTAGGAAATGTGATATCACTTTCAGAATTTTGACACAATTATTTTAGTAACTCCTTGGTATAATAATAAATAGAAAATATTTTAAATCTCGTCACGCTTTCGATTAAAGTTTCAAGCCTCATGCCTACAATTCGAGTCACGTTGGTCGAAGCAAGCGTTTCATGCCGCATCCGAGTCCTAAATCATAAACGTTAATACTGTGAAGATATCGACAGAACTGGTAAATATTATGCATATCGAGAGCACGTAACCAACACAAATCTACAATCTAATATTACGTTTCATCCATAAGGATAAAATTTAATTGTTAATAAAAAAAATATTTTCATCCAAATATGTGTTCAATACGATACAAAACAGATGTGCTTTTATGTACAAGCATTTGTCGGGTAAGGACTACTTCTAATATGAGAGGTCGGGGCTCCATTCTTGGTGTAGTCGATTTTTATAGTCTTTAGCAAAGACAAAATATCTCTTAGATTAAACATTACATGGAAAGTTAAAGATTCGTCATATAGAGTTAAAATTATGTATACTTTAGGTTAATATTGAAAAAAATAAAAAGCTTTGTCACGTCCAGATACTGAGTTACAAAACTTAATTACCCTACAAAAGGTAAAGCAATATAATAAAATAATGGAATTTAACATGCCCACCAAAAACATTCAAGTACTTTAACATCGATTATATTAATTGTGTTGTGCTATTAATATTTAAAATATAAACAATGAAAAACATATATTTTAGTATTTATTTATCGATATCATTATATTTTAATTTGCAAACAAAATACTCGATGTTATAATCACCAATTCGTAATTAACTGGTGGAACATGACATACAAAATATTATTCAGCTTTAAGTACTTTTCGAGCACAATTAAATATGTACACAAGTGATCCCATTGTGCTCACGAACAAAGAACAGTATCTATTAAGTTTCAGATATATTTCTTTATAAAAGTTAATTCTTTAAGTGAGTTTGTAAATAATTTATCAAAATTCTTACTAATTTGAGATGTTAAATGAGCTTTTTCTGAGAATTTCCTATATCCAAAGAAAAATCTGTTCCTTTATCCTTTCTTATTCCTTGATCTTTATACATGTATTTAAAAAATAAATAGTAAATAAGGTAAGAAATTTACATAAAGCTTACACTTGGGCAATTTCTTTTATTAAAAACTTATGTAGGTATATAGTTTTCTCTCAAATGTTTGATTGACTTGTTGATTTCTTTATCAATATATATGTACATATATATTGATAAAGATTGAAGATAACTAAGAAAAATATGTTATTATATAAAGTTAAAAAGGCAGAGGTAGCCCAGTGGTAGCTTGGGAAACCGAGTAAAGCGGGTTCAAATCCCAGGTATCTAATTTTATCTATTTCTAACATGACAATCACTTGCCTTACGGTGAAGGAAAAAATCATAAGGAAACCTGTATGTCGGAGAGAACCTAGAAAATTTTCGAAAGACGTGTGAAGTCCGCCAACCCGCACTTGGCCAGCGTGGTAGACTATGGCCTGATTGAAGGGAGGCCCGTGCCCAGCAGTGGGACGTTAACAAAGGCTAAATACATAAAAAGTTATTTTATATGTAAATGCATAACTGAAATGCAAACAAATACTATTCTCACTTAACCAACTATCCTATTTATTATACGTAATAGAAATCTATGTCAAATGCAAGAGTAATATCACGTTATAAAAACGATATAATGCCAGTGAATGATTATACTAATGGATTGTACATAACTTATAATACCAATATCTAACACTTTGTGAATGAACACAGCTCTATATATTTCCCAAAAACTGTGAGAATCATCTTAAGCGACACGTACTTTAAAATAGAGTGTGGAGTGTTTCTGACGGCACATAAATTGAAGAAAACTGTAAGCTACGAGTATTTCAAAGAATCGCGTCGCGAAGAATAGCTACGAAATTGTAAATTTGAAAATAATATTGGCATTTGGTTGTTTGATAAAGGATTGTTAACACTAGGTTTCTTATTTTATTAATAAAACTAGCATTGTCCGCGGCTCCGCACGCGTTTAGGTGACTAAAACGAAATTCTTAGATTTTACATATTAGTATACTCTTACATTTCAGCTTTTGTATTTTTTCTCAGAAATGAGATATTTTCCCGCGGTAAAAAGTATCCTATATGTTCACCCGGACAACCAGCTATCACCATACCAAATTTCATCAAAATCCCTCTAGTTGTTTTTCTGTGATGCGGTAACAGACAGACAAAAATTCTAAAAACTATAGATTTGGCCTTTGTATCGATAATAATGTTTATTTCAATAATATTTTCCAAAAAATATTTAATGTACAGATTCGGCTTAGTTACAATTTTATTATGTGTATAGATATGCATTTTATTTGCAAAACCCAAAAGTTGTATTTTTTTAGCAGAAAGAATTCTTTTTGAAATTTCGTACCTTAAAGTTTGAATAGTGTGCTAAAATTTTTTATATGGAATAATGTTATTGTAAGCAAATTTACTTGAACATAATGTTTACTTAAACTTATGTTTACTTGAATTTGATATTTGCTTGTAGTATTATTGATATTGCCATCCCTTTTCAACTGCAGATGTAGAATTTCAAAATATCATTTCATCACATTTATCTATCTAGCTCTATGTATTTATTCTAGGTTTTCAGGTCTAGCGATTTGAGCTAGGTCTAATGATTCAGTCAGGATAAGTTTATTATATCATATAGATAAAATAGGGTTTACATTCAACAAAATTTGAAATTATTAACGCAAATGCCAATTATAGTTACTTTTGTTAGTTATTGTTTTAGTTTAGATTTCATTATACTCGTATAATCAAACCATAAAAAAATGGTTTAAGAGTAAATTTTTAGATTAATATTTATATATACGTACATTCTGTGAACATTTTAATAGGCTACCCAACAAGTTTAAAATGTTATGGTGTATTAGTATCGGGATAGGCCAATAGACAGATAGATCGATGGCAGCTTAATAATAAAACTTGAAATCGAACACGAATACTTTACACAGCACAATCTAGGGCAGGTACCAAGTTGATTAATTAAGATAATTTAATTTATTTCTATTATAATCTCCAAGAGATCCCTTTTACAAGATAAAATATTACTGAAAGAGATGTCAAATAAAAAAGCAAGAGTCTTGACAAAAACGGCATTTTCATTTCCACTGTCATTATTTAATTTTAAGAAGAACATAAATATTTATGCAAAGATCCTTATCCTTAGATTTATGCGTTCATTTTAACCAAAAAACCGTATAAAAAGTAAATTATCCTGCCAACATTTATTTCCGCTGCCGAGAATAATGGTTCTATGATGCCTAAATTACCACGTTTCCCTTTAGTACCTATTGTTTTAACACCATTCAATTCCAATGAAAAGAATCAAATACCGCGTATCACGTAAATATTACAAAACGTATTGGAAATTTATATTTGTATCGTTATTATCTGACATTTTTATTTGTTCAACGCCAATTGGTGTGTCGTGGTGTGTTTTGGAATTATTCTCATTGGATTTTGTGATATTTTATAAGTTGAGTAGTAATTAGTTTAAAAACTATTACAGATGTCGTAGGTTCAATTACCTATCGCCATTTATTCTTCATGTCCATTGTCTATGTTAGAAAGAAAACTTAAAAAACTATACCTACTATGTTGTAATTTATGTCAACTTTTTAATCCCTCTACGACTGAGAACACGCCGGCGTTATAGTTAACAATAGATTTCTTAGAAATTTACCTGGAGGTGTTATATCCAATACTTCATTATGTGGGTATATACTATCTAGGCGACCGAGATCCGGTAGGCGTTTTTGTAAAACCAAGTTTTTCAGTAAGTTGCCTTTTTTTCGGAAAATATACATACATATATGTATAGATAAACCTAAAAAGCAAAACCTTATCTAAGTACATAAATTCATTCAAATCATTAAAACCGCTTCCAAGATACACGAAAATAATTTATTTATACAAAAATTAGTCATTTAATATTATAAACTATTCCATGTTGTATGTATTAGTATTTTGTATAGCAATAAAGCTACATATTAATCTATATACCTATATAATAAAATTCTACCTAAGCCGAATCTGTACGTTAAATACTTTTGGGAAAATCTTATTGAAATAGACATTATTATCGACACAAAGGCCGAATCTATAGTTTTTAGAATTTTTGTCTGTCTATCTGTCTGTCTGTTACCGCATCACGGAAAAACTACTGAAGGGATTTCGATGAAATTTTGTATGATGATAGCTGGTTATCCGGGTCAACATATAGGATACTTTTTACTGCGGGAAAATATCTCATTTCTGAGAATAATATGTAAAACCTAAGAATTTGGTTTTTGGTCACCTGAACGCTATTGTATATTGGACTCGTTTTCCGCACTTAGACTTGCATTTCGTCCGTTGTACGTTGCACCTGAACGCAAGTAGGCAATGCTAGTAATTAATATAATATTCGTTTTTTCTTTGACAGTTCCACCAAATATCATAGACGAAGGAACCAGCGGAGACATCGTCTCTCGAGAGGGCACTGACGTCAGTATATCTTGCAAGGCGAATGGAAGGCCACTTCCTCGCATACTTTGGAGAAGAGAAGATGGTACCAACATACAGCTCCGAAATGAGGACGGAGAACTTTATAAAGGTATTTTATTAACCCCCCGACGCAAAAAGAGGGGTGTTTTAAGTTTGACGTCTATGGCTGTCGCCACGCTTTTGTGTGTGTGTGTGTGTGTGTGTGTGTGTGTGTGTGTGTGTGTCTGTCTGTGGCATCGTAGCTCGCAAGCAGGTGGACCAATTTCAATGCGATTTTTTTTTCATTTGAAAGCCAGTTTCCTTGCGGTAGTTCTTAACTATGTTTAGTTAATATCGGTCCAGCAATGTAAGAGTATCAGTTCTTTTCCAAAATGATGTAAGGCATTTTGACGTATGATTACTCGATTAAGTGCTTCACGCGTGCCAGTGTAATCGTTAAATGACAATTAATTTGCGTAGGGGATTTTAAAAAACACCAATTTTCAATTTATAATAATTTGTATTCGTTACACATAAATCTGAAAATTGTTACCGACTTTTAAATGTTTAGATATGAAGGATTAGACAGAATACTTTGGGTCCCAGATAGTGTATGTACAACTTGCGAGTGTGAATAAGAGTAGGAGAATGAGTAGGACAAAAAATCACTTTAATGTTATTTTTACATTACATTAGTACTAAAAAAAGTTACTAATAAAATAGCCTATTTTATCTTAGTATGTCAAGTAATTACTTGGTCATAAGTTTATCGCGAAGTGTATACCTAACAGAGCGACATGGTCGTTTTAACGACAAAGCTCTTAAATAAAGAAAAAAAATGTTTGTCGGGAACAGTATCCTAGGGAAGCTCTTTATTTATATGTCGTTATTAATTTATGGTTATAATAACATGATTTCCCTTGAGAAAAAAATATATCTTTATCGATTCGGGCTCAATTTCTACACTAACTCAAAGAAAGTCTATTTTATTATTATACCTATCTTACGTAAAACGTAATGTGTTATTTTATCATTTACATATATTTATAAGTAACTAGCACTGCCCGCGGCTCCGCCCGCGTTCAGATGACCAAAAAGCAAATTCTTAGGTTTTACATATTAGTATACTCTTACAATGCAGTTTTTGTATTTTTTTCTCAGAAATGAGATATTTTTCCCGGGGTAAAAAGTATCCTATATGTTGACCCGGGTAACCAGCTATCACCATACCAAATTTCATCAAAATCCCTCCGGTGGTTTTTCTGTGATGCAGTAACAGACAGACGGACAGACAGACAAAAATGCTAAAAACTATAGATTCGGGCTCTATATCGATAATAATGTCTATTTCAATAAGTTTTTCAAAAAAAAATTGATGTAGAGATTCGGCTTAGTTACAATTTTATTATGTGTATAGATTATTTTTATTTGGAAAAAAAAATTGTATACATATATTACAAAAATACTTCATAGATCACGTTTATTATTTAAAAAGCTCTACGGAGACATCATTATAGGAATCGGAATACTAGAAGCTTGTTAAAATATATTTATTTGTTAAAATATTTCAGTCCTTTCGTAAGTTTAACATCATTTGTTAATCCGATATCACATACAGTTACTAGAAATAAGATTACAAGATATTGGCCTTCTTAGCTCACATTTGATAAAAATTAAAAACGTTTTACTTTTAAACATAAACTACGTAATATATATATATATATATATATATATATATATATATATATACATGTAAGGTGAATGGCTCACTGTCCTTACTTGCTAAGGCTTTATCTATTTGAACCGGTTGTCTACTTATGATCTGTAGTGATTTTTTTTTAATATATTTTAACGATGAATGTAAATAAATATGTTGGGACATTAACACAGCATCATCTAGTTCCATGGTAAGCTACGAGGCTTGTGTTATGGATACCAGATAGTTGATACACTACACATATATAACTTTTTAAATACATATATGTAGGTATTTTATAAATATAAACAACCATGACTGGAGTACAAACACACGTGCTCGTGTCACAAAAGAATCCCCCCAGCGGAACTTGAATCCGCGACCAGTGGCACAGCAAGCACTACAAACTGAGCCAAACGTGTCGTCAAAATAAAATATTTTAAATTTTAACATGAAATCTCGAAAACTTGGAAGGGAAGAATTATTCTTCTTCTCATTGGTGAATATGGTTGTACGGTTGAACGGTCGTCTAAATTGTAAATTTATACGAGAGATTTCAGCTAGAGATATAAAGATAAGTTGTTGGTAACACAATATAAATCAAATACGCGAGTGGAGCCGCGGGCAACGTTAAATAAATAAATAAAATAGTACAGTAATAAAGCAGTGTATATATTATTTTCTATAATATATTTTTTTCTTTATTTAAGGCGGGCAACGTTAGTAAGAATTAAATCATATACAACGATATAAAAAGGGAAAACGGTTGTTCTACTAAAACAGATTAAAATTGGTACATAAAATGTAGCTTAATATATACTTAAGATAAATTTCCGATAAGAAGTGATATATTCCGATACGTAATTAATATCATGCAGAGAGCAATATCAGGATATACCTATTAATGACTGTAAAAGCTCTGTTCCATAGATGCTTTTAAAAAAAAAGCATTTGTAAGCTCATTTCCTCCTTCGCAAGTACAAGTATAAGTCTATTGTTGAGAAAAAACGATTAGAATTCCTTCTATACTTCAAATATTTATGTAATGAAGTAAATAAAATCTATTGTTTACGTTATCATAACTGTACATATTCTGTAACTGTAAGTGCAGAAGTATAGTGGAATTCAAAAAAAGTTGCCTTAAAATATATTTTTACAAAGGCAGATTTACCCATAATAATAAATTTATAGTAATTTATTCCTTTATTATATTTCTAATTACATTAAACTAATATATAATTTGTTACAAAATATTTAATAAGCGCCCGAAGCATTAAATTTATCAAATTAGTATATCATCTTTCGTAATCAAATCAAGTGAAATATAACAATAAATTAAAAAAGGCATTTTGAGCCATTTGCATCAAAATGGAGTCCAATTAGATATCCTATATGTACAGCAATGACGAAAATATAAAGAATAAATGAAAGAAGTATAAAAATTAGGATTGTTTTTGATTATAGCACAGAAAATGTCGATGTTACTAAATATCCGCTGTAATATCTGAATGAATAATAATTTTTATTCGTCCAATTAATAGTAATAATAAGTCATAATAATATAATCATGCGCATATGTACGAGTATATGTCATATCATTGTCATATGTACATTGTATCTACGTGCCATTTAAATATGTATCAATGTAACAAGTCTAAATATAGAGATGGTTAAAATAACTATAAAATAATTAAAGGATTCCTTAGCCAAGAGGTAAAAACAAAACCCTTTTAATTTCGGCATGACCGTCTGTCCGTACGCCACAACTATTTTACTCAAATTTCTCATGTAAAAATAAATAAAATATATTACTAGATGTAATAGAGCGGTGAAAACAATGTTAGTAGGATCAAAGGTGATCTTGAACAGGTCTTTAGAAATAGTTGATGAGTTAAATGTGTTTATTAAATATTTATAATTACTCGTTGTGTCTACAAAGAACAAACCGGAAGAAATCGATAATTAGCGATAAGGCCGCTATTCGTGCAGGTTATTTGAGATACATACTTTGTTTGTCCATCTTTACGTTATTATTATAGTATACAATCTACACATATAATAAAATTGTAACTAATCCGAATCTGTTCATTAAATATTTTTTGGAAAATCTGATTGAAATAGACATTATTATAGATAAAGAGGCCGAATCTATAGTTTTTAGAATTTTTGTCTGTCTGTCTGTTACCGGATCACGGAAAAACCACTGAAGGGATTTTGATGAAATTTGGTATGATGATAGCTGGTTATCTGGGTCAATATATAGGATACTTTTTACCGCGGGAAAATATCGAATTTCCGAGAAAATATACAAAAACTGCAACGTAAGAATATACTAATATGTAAAACCTAAGAATTTAGTTTTTGGTCATCTGAACGCGGGCGGAGCCGTTAGCAATGCTAGTAAAGTATATAATTATAAATAAATACAACTTCCCTCTTCGTTTATGGTCTAGAGAATAGATGACCTAATTTTAAACCTTATACTACAAGTGTAAATTTTTTATTGACATGTTTGAACGAAGCAATAGCGTGACCGATGTTGAATAATTATGAAACATATTATTTATTCAAGTTTTCTTTTACAGTGGATATGTTCACGGGCCCTTCATTAAACCTCACGAAGGTCGAACGTCGTCAAATGGGCGCATACCTATGTATAGCGTCTAATGATGTGCCACCGTCTGTCAGCAAGCGGATCATGTTAAGTGTAAATTGTAAGTCTAAATATTATTTACTTGGCCTTTTTATTCATTTATAAAATATTTGTGATAAATGTTATAGTTTTACCGAAAAATTCATGGCGAGATCGTGTTGTGTTTTGTTTCTCTTGAAAGAACATAACTGCGGGTCTTTTAGTTCTTATTTGTGTGGTCTAAGACAAGATGTCTGATTAAAAATGTCTGAAAATTATCAAATGTAGCTCAGTTGTGACAAAACATCGCTCGATATTATTTGTCACAGGATCTTGATGATCCCACCCCATAGACTCTTCGGTGACAAATCAAGTATAAGTTATTTTTTTAACAGAATTTAATTCATAGACAGCAATGTTCTCTCTATAATAGTGACCAACTTTCCTGTGTCAGAAATGCAAAAAAATGTGTATTGAGAAGCTATTTTTTAAAAGCTTTCACATTGAACGAGCCTATATCGAGTCCATTGTCTCCATTTTTTATAATGGAATTTTATATATTAAAAAAATATTGTCATACTAAGTTTTCATCGATTTTCCTCAAGCCATGTTGTGTTTTCTACGAATTATAATACTACAGTAGTTAATTTTCTAGTTTATTAAGAAATTAGTTAACAATCTATAAAAGAACGAGCTTTTTTATGCAGGCCGTATTGGATATTTAAAATCGCTGTCAAAGAATTAATATAGCAAATGACGTGACATAACTGACAAATGTTCGAAGCAATCGACTTAAAAATGTTCAATAAATATATTATATAGCACAACATTACTATCATATTTACAATGTATTGCAATTGTATTTACTTCCATACTGTCATTCTGTATATTAATAATATTATATAAAAGCCTCGTTGGTTTAGTGACTAACTCGATAGTCCTAGGTTCGAGTACTGAGTCATGCCACAATACTTGCTGCGATTTTCTATCGCGAAATACTCAATAGTAGGCTATAATGAGCGGTGTGTATGCCGCTAAATATGCCGCTCGTGCATCTTGAAAAGTACTTAACTAAAAAGTACTGCACCTTATCTCCATTCGTTTGTGTCGTGTTCGTCCACTATGACACTCACAATATGACAGTTAAACGTATACATAGTGCATACTGTATATATACATACATATTATGTGTCTACGCACAGACAGCACTCTTGCACTATAATATTAGGTTTCGCAGAGTTGGCTAGTCTCAGTGGGGTTGGACGCCGTAACCGATATCAGTTAAGCAACATTATTAGACAATAAAAAAGAGTTCCTATTTTTTTTTTATTTCTCATTCTTACATGCCAAAATATGTTGAGGTAGGAAATGATATTTGCATATGCATGCATGTCATTTTTTTATCCATCAAATAATTTCATAAAAAAATGTACACGAAAAAATGTACGGTTCCCGTGGGATAGGTTAGATTTTGTTTTCCTAGAGGTGAACCCGAGGAACCCGGAAATTAAAATTACACCTATCCCATGGGAACCTTACATTTTTCCAGAATAAAAAGTAACTTATATGTTATTTCAAACTATAATCTATCTCTGTGTCAAATTTCATTCAGATCCGTTCAGCCGTTCTGGCGTGAAAGAGTAACAAACATGCATACATACTCACAAATTTTCACATTTATAATATTAATAATACGGATTAATAACAATAAAATTCGTTTTTTATATATTTTGCACACTGCACTAAATCTGAACTCACTGAACTTACATTTCTACTTGTGACGATACAATATGTTGCTAGACTGATCCTATTTTCATTTTAATCACACTGTATATATGAGGAAAGCGGAGAAATATATATATAAATAAATAAATAAATAAATATAAATATGTTGGGACATTACACATAGGACCATCTAGTTCCATGGTAAGCTACGAGGCCTGTGTTATGGATACCAGATAGTTGATACACTACACATATATACCTTTAAATACATACATATTATAAATATAAACACCCATGACTGGAGTACAAACATTCGTCATTAAACAAATGAATGCCCCCAGCGGGACTCGAACCCACGACCGCTGGCAAGTAGGGACTACAAACTGAGCCAAACGTGTCGTCTATATATACGTTACGAAAATAAATAATAGATATATGTAATATGTATCTATAACGCCATAATAAGACTTAAGAATTTAACATACTATTTACTTACCTCTTATCTCGAAACAAACCGTTTCCATTGCATCTATACGGATAGCATAGTTTGGCACATGCTTAGATTTATATTTTTTGAAAAGAAAAGATTTCGTTCAATTCCTTTTTCTTGATATTATTCATGCTTGATATGACCTGAATTGAACTTTACGATAAGTTTTATGTCAGTAAAGTCAGGTAACGGTCCGTAAAAAGATTTGGCCAGTAAATCCTTTACAAGTATTTTTATGCCTTTTCCTTTTTACCTTTTCATAAATTTCATGAAACTATTGCCAACAGAATTTAACAATGTTAACTGTGTTTAAAAGTTTTTTTTTTTGTAAAGTGCTTTTTTATTCAGTTTCTTGATCGAAAAGTATCATTCAAAAACTTTTTAACAAAAAAATAAAAACCGACTTCAAACAAAAGCACTAAAAAGTAAAAAATAACTGATTGGTAGTTTTCATTTACTATACATACCTAATCAAATACTTTCGAAGTCGGTGTGCTTTGGCTAAGTAATTAAACCCATTAAATACATACCTTATTAAATATTTTCGCAATCGGTGCCAGCCCATACAAAGCAAACACATACGTCTACACTAGACAGTAGTAGCAAAGTAAGAATTCTAACGTGTTAGGCTTGTCAAATCAAACAAAATAAGCCCAAACTCAAAGTTTCTACTATTAGTCATTGAAGAGTTCCACCTATCCATCTTCTAGCCTTACCATCAGATCAGGTCAACAATTCCGAACCACTGTACTATCAACGGAAATAGAAACACTTGCAAAGTTTCAAGTCAATATGACAATTAGAAGTAGGTTAAATTCATCATTAGCTATTTTTTTTGAAATTTAAATGGGATCAATCTGGAAGTAGACACTTTCAAACAAAATAAAGATTGTCTAAATCGGTTAATAAATGACGGAGTTCTGAGGTAACAAACATAAAAAAAATACAGCCGAATTGAGAACCTCCTCCTTTTCAACCGACTTCAAAAAGGAGGAGGTTCTCAATTCGACTGTATTTTTTTTAGTCGGTGTGCTTTGCTTTGTATGGGCTGGCACCGATTTCGAAAATATTTGATTAGGTATGTATTTAATAGGTAGGCTTTAATTACTTAGCCAAAGCACACCGACTTCGAAAATATTTGATTAGGTATGTATAGTAAATGAAAACTACCAATCAGTTATTTTTTTCTTTTTAGTGCTTTTGTTTGAAGTCGGTTTTTATTTTTTTGTTATTGAGGAAGTCGGTTAAAAAGTAATAACACACTAACATTAATTTTATCATTTGGATTACGTAACAGTATTACGATAAAATCAATTACAAATAAAACATTACATTGGATATATTGTAATACGATTTCCAAACAACTAACAAAAGTAATATAACTTTATCTCAAAAATGTACAGACAGGCTTAAGTTTAAGAGTTTGCAAAGAGAATCTCATTCCAATATGAGAATTTTATATGTTTGAGCTCGTATTGAAAACAGTGCAATAAAAGCTCTAGACTTATTCTTTTTAAAATACTGAAGTGGAATTGTGCAATTTATTTCGCTTGTTTGTTTTGTAAGACGAATACTATATAGTATTGATTCTTGATTCGGTCTTTATTACACAGTAGCAGTTTTTATTATGAACACTGCTACTGCAAAGTACCAATATTCAAAATGTGTAAGTGTAGTTGCAAAAAATGTTAATAATTTTATTCTTTCAGTTGGACCTTCTATAACGATATCGCCAAAAGTCATCGGTGTTCCCACTGGCTCGCAAACTGACCTCGAATGCCTCGTAGAAGCATATCCTCCTGCTATCAACTATTGGTTAAAGAGTGGAGAAGAAATGATACTCTCTGGGTATGTAAGTGACAAAGTAAAAAATGACATATTAGAGTAAAAAATCTCTATGAAAATTGTTCGATTTAAACTTAGATTTTTTTATCATAAACCTAAAAGTTACAAATAACAAAGGATATTGATGTATTATTAGAGTGATTTGTTCTAGTATTTCTCTTTTAGAAGTTTTTGACTGAGCGAGTGAAGCAAGCAAAGCGACTGTGCTTCAAGTCTGGCAAAATTTGCTTTCCTATATTAGTTTATTGGTCCTCTACAGATCATATTTTACAACCGATCTGGACGAAACTTGATATACAAGTTTTACGACTTTATAGATTTTTTTTGTCGTCGGGGATTTTTGATTGGAGGGGTACTTCCTCCAAAAAGGGGCCAAAATTGGGCTACTGGTTATATTATGCGTTAGTCATAATATTAATAAAACCATTTCCATGTTACCTTTTTATCTATTTATTTAATATTACGAAACTACTGCTTAGTCAAATACCACCGAAAAGTAAATGTGCAATGTGTGGCGCCGGGTGCATTTAACATCTCTCATATTACATTTCAATATCATCTATACAAAAGATTTTAACCATTTAACAATAGCGATATATTAAAAAACATATATAAATATAGGATTATATATTCCTAAAATAATAAATTAAAAATATATAAATTAAATATATAAATATAGGATTATATATACATTTTTTTTAAATGGAAACTTTACTAGTTTATGTTTTATATATAATTATTTATTTCTATGTAATACTTCACTTCACACACTTCACTGTATGTTTCCCAAATATATTAAAAAAATAAAATTTATTTTACTATTTTTGGTCATATCTATACTAATGTATAAAGTTGAAGAGTTTGTTTGTTTTAACCGGCTAATCTGTGAAATTACCAGTACAATTCATGAAATCTTTTTGCATTTTATACTGTCTATTTATTGGGCAAGGTGATAGGTTATATAGTATCAAAAAATGACTCCTAGGAAAAGAAAAATTACATATAAATAAACTATGCGAGCAAAACCGCAGACTAGTATATAGGTAAATCACTATATATTTCAATGCAACCATCGGCTTTACATTTGCACTCTATAATATGGAAAAGTAAAACCGAACGAACGCATTAATCTTTTCAATATCGTTTCGTTCTCGTTTAAATAAAAAGGAAACATGAAGAAATGGGTCGCATATTTCAACGTAATTTAGGGCGTACATAAATAAAGTAGAGTAGACCCTCAATCGACACATACATTAAAGTTGTAACGAATGTAAAGATTGTACATAAATATACAATCTATTAGAGTTATTACAATATTTGTTTGAAATATTTTGGTTTTGGGAACTTTTCAATCAACAAATTTTCAAATGAATGGCAATCGATGTTTCTATATAGAAATTTGAAACTCCAAATATGAATCGACAGCAAAATACACAGGATCAGAATACAATGCCAACAACAACAACACCATGTTTAACATTTTCAATTGTAACTTGCGTCGTCAAAAACAATAAAATTCGAACATCTATCTTCTAAATTTTATATTAAAAGTTTTCTTAAATCATATATTCAAATAAGCTCTTTGTAATTCAAATAAGAAATGTTCATGAATATAATTTAAAAATACTTGCCGTTTTTTAAATTATTGTAGTATAAAATATCTATGTAATCGTGTTTGATTAAATAATGTATCGGCCTAATGAAAATATTACAATTATTATAAAATAATTACTACTACCAGATTGGTCGCGTTGAGCTTCGCGCGGTGTTTTTCGGAAAATATATAAAAAGAGTGTTTTTACGGAAAAGAAACCTACATAGATATACTTAATTAAATTAAAAATTAAAAAAAACCGACCATCTTGGACCGATTTTCATCAAACATAGCTAAGAACACTCGTGACTAATTCATCTTTCAGACAAAAAAAAACAAAATTAAAACCAGTTCATCCGTTCGGCAGTTACGATATCACAGACAGACACACACACACACACACACACACACACACGTCAAACTTATACACCCCGTCGTTTTTGCGTCGGGGATTAAAAAAATGTTTTTTTTTTCAGTAAAAAAAACCTATATAGATAAACTTTAAAAACAAAACATTATATAGTAAATATATTTTTTTAGGGGAAAACATGAAATTAGTGAAGTTCGTATCTCGTCTTACCAAACACGAACCATTTTAACCATCACTGAATTTGATAACCACGATGCTGGCACGTACACTTGTGTTGCCACTAACACTATTGGAAAGGCCGAGGGTATCGTAAGATTATACGGTTAGTATACCTAAGTTAAGATTATGTTGTTACTATAGTGCGATCTGCTATATTTAAGTGTTGTAAATTTTTTTAATATTATATATGTAAATATATATAAATATTTTTTATTGTACTCCTTTACCATTTCTATTAATATTATAAATAAAAAGTGTGCATGTAGATTTTGCATTATACTTAGTAACGGAAAAGTCACACTAATCCGTGATTTTTAAAATAAAGATATATTCAATGGGATGTAAAGTACCATTATATATCGTGCCATTATATTACAGGATATAACGGATTTTATCACTGTATAACGGAAACCTGTTAGATATTATATATTGCAATAATTTATGGTCTCCATCCATAATAATGTATTGAAGCTATTTTTATTATAAGGGTTATTATTTACAGAAATAGAGATAACAACAACAACAACGACGACAACCACAACAACTACAACAACCACGACAACAACCACGCCGGCTCCAACTACAACGGAATTTACAACACCACCACGTGAGTTCACACTTCTACAGTACTTCTATAGTAGCAATAGCTACTAGTTTTTGCTCACGGTTTAACTCGGATGATCAGCGAGGAAAGCCGCGATGGGGATTAAGGGTAGGCTATGTCCGATCCCCAAATGCCATCTATGGCTATGCCAAATTTTATGGAAATCTGTTCAGCAGTTTAAGCGTGAAACGGTAACAGACAGAGTTACTTTCATATCCATACTAATACCTATTATAAACGTGAAAGTCTAATTTTGTTTGTTTGTTTGTCCTTCTTTCACGTCGAAACAAAGTGACGGATTGACGTGATTTTTGTGTAGATATAGTTGGAAGGCTGGATTGACACAGGCTTCTTTTTGCCAAGAGCTTTTTGCAAGAGCTTTTTTTTCTCATTCCCACGGGAAAACATGATAGAGTACAACCTAAATAAATATTTATGGTCAGAATTACTTGAAACTTGGAATTAATACTCTACAATTAAATAAATACGTATTTTAGAATTTTTCGAAATTCATCCTATTAGGGGGTAAAATACTGGATGAAAATTTGTATAAAACCTACCTTTTTACAGTTTTTTTTTGTAGTTTTAGCGCCAGCGAAGCCGCGGATTCTACTAGTTTATAATATTCAGGACTTTTAGCTTGGTTGTTTTTTTTTTTATATAAAACTAGAAAATTATTGTTTACTATACAATTTTTTTCACCGTTCTTCACTTCTTTAAAAGTTGATTTATCAACGCCTATCTAAAGCCGTAGACATAGAGGGCTAACATTTAAACATATAGTGTGGAACATACATATATTTGTATGTATGTCTGTCGTGCATAATAAGTAAACTAAGAAATATTTGTTTGATCTTCTAATAATAGTGTAATAAGTCAAAAAAGAACTATCTTATATTTTTTCCACATATTCGAAGGTTTGTGAAAATGACATAACATATTAGTATTTTCGGGAAATATAAATCGAGGCATACTGCTCGAAAATGAGAAAATTCTTAGAAACATTGCTTATTTAATTCTAATGAAATTATCTTTTGTATTTGAAATCACGTAAAGCTTCTAACAAAGAAAAATTATTATTATTAGTATTTAGCTGTATAATTAGTGAAAGCCCTTGTTCTTAGCATATTCTAATACGATTATCCTAAAAAATTGAAATCTATAAAAAATGTTTATTCTATAACGATTGTAGAGTTCTTTGGTTGTAGTAGTTTATTGTAGAGAATGATATTTTGTCTTACCGCCATAAATAGAAATGATTTTTTAGATTACCATAGAAAGAATGTAATGAATGAATGAATGAATGAAAAAATGAAATTTATATTGTACAGTAGACATAAATTAATAAACTTCAAACTTTTACTATTAGTTTATTTCACTATTATAAATATGAAAGTTATAATTAAGGAAACCAAATCGTAAACATATGAAACCCAGAAGCGAGAAGTCGTTAATAATGATTATTGTTTGTTCAGCTGCTAACAATTAACAAATGCATAATATTTCATAGCATTCCTGTAAACATTATAACTAGGCAAGTGTTAACGAGAAGATTCATTTTAAATCACTTATTTATTTACACTTATTCAGAATTTATGTTGTAGTCGTAAATAAAATTACGTTGTTTATACTTAATAGAGTTTTTTTTGTAGAAATTGTATTGTTTTTAATTCTCATTTGCTTGTATTTGTGCTCTATAAATCACCGCTCTATATATCTATTAAGATAGTGACTGATCTGTAGTTTTATTGCATTGCAGCATTTGCAGTAAGGACATTTTACATAAAACTATATTTTTTGATTTTGTTAAAGTAGTGTGATTCCACTGCAATTATTTTTGGAAAAATTAAGCAAGTAAAATAATTATGAACGATACATGGAAGTGCTCATGTCGAGACGTCAACTTAAACTGACATGTAATGTAACATTCAAAGGAATTCGTGGAATAACCAAGACCAGACGGAGTTTGTGGCGAACGGTTTGGTTCGTTGCACTGATCGTACAAACGCTTACATTGTAACATTATGTTTAAATGATACAAATCAGATGGCACGTTTATATATATTTAGCCACAATCTAAAAAAATAGTCTAATTTTAAGCGTAGGAAAACCTAGTTTTAAGCGTTATAAAAGTCAACTTAACTAAGGGCGACTACACGTACCCATTACACGCTCATAAGAATAAGCATGCTTTCGCATTCTTGTCTGCCTCCATATATTTTTGTGTCGAATTGTTTATCAATCATGAAATTATGTTTGTGGCAGTCCTAACCATGCAAGCTGGTTACATGTCCACGCTTTTTCTTACATCGAGGGAGGCCGTGTTAAGCTGAGAGAGAATATAGATGATAATAAAACAAATCTCGGACGGCGTTTTCAAACACCATCGTTGTTTAAATTAAATACCTGTTCTAAATAAACAGGTAGTTTTGTTTAAGTTGGCATGTTGTCATGAGCTCTTCCGTGTATCGTTTTAAATTATTTTATTTGCTTAATTTTTCCGAAACGTCAATATGAACATCTATACATATAATAAAATTGTAACTAAGCCGAATCTGTACATTAAATATTTTTTTGGAAAAACTTATTGAAATAGGCATTATTATCGATACAGAGGCCGAACCTATCGTTTTTAAATTTTTTGTCTGTCTGTCTGTCTGTCACCGCATCACGAAAAAACCACTGGAGGGATTTTGATGAAATTTGGTATGATGATAGCTGGTTATACGGGTCAACATATAGGATACTTTTTACAGCGGGAAAATATCTCATGCATGTATGTATATAAAAATCGATCCTGCGCCTTTTGGGTTAATATACTATATACGTATATATGTTTCGTACAGTTAAAGCGATTAATTAATTTCCTAACATTCATCGCCAATTTTTATTTTAAATTTTACCAAAAATTGCTGATAGCTTTACGAGAAAAAGTTTTTATTGAATATCAGGCTTTTGCGAAACTTTGTTTTAATTGGTCCCGTTACTTTCATTATAACTAACTGCTGCATATGGTTCTACCTGTGTATTTTTTTATTTAATAACCATTAAAAATGCCGTTTACTTTTATGTTCTTAACCGATTTCAAAAAAAGGAGGAGGTTCTCAATTCAACTGTATATTTTATGTTTTATCATATAATAATGTTTTTTTTTTCAATTTGGCACAGATTACGTGGTGGCGCTACAACCTGCTGAGCAAAAATTTTTTACGCCGGATGTTACAACCTATGGTAGGTTTTATGAATTCTAAAAATATCGTTACATGCCATCTAATAAAGATAATATTTTTTATCAATATAGTAATATATGGCGATCAAAAGTATTACCTTTATTAAATACCATTTTTAATAAAAATGGTGAAATAAATTGTGGTTAGATAAGCACAATTTAATCTCGCAACATAACTATTAACTATAAATATAATTTTCTTTTTATTTATTTCTAATAAAAAAAATATTCTCATCCATGTAATATGCACATTGTAGAAAAACTTTAACTGCCTCGGTGGTGTAGTGGCTAGCATGTACGGCTGCACACCCGGAGGTCCTGGGTTCGAGTCCCGGGTCGGGCCAAGTTTAGTTATTGAGTCTTTCTGTATATTAAGTCTCAGTAACAGCCCGGAGTTGGGAAGTTGGCGGTGTATCACCCCCGTACCTCGGAGAGCACGTAAAGCCGTCGGTCCTGCGCCTTAACTCTCACCGGTCGTGTCGAGTGGTCGTCCCACCGGAGTATGAGAGTGATAGGAATAGAGAGTGCACCTGTGTCTGCGCGTACACTTGTGCACTATAATATCTCCTGCGCAGTTGGCTAATCTCAATGAGATTGGCTGCCGTAGCCAAAATCGGCTAGGATAACATCATCATCATCATCATCATCACATTTTAGATATAAGAGATATATTACCATCGAACCGTTATAAAGCGACAGTGTCAAGAATGTATTTAAATATCAATCGATCGATCAATATTTAATTTTTTTCCCATTTCAATGCAGATACTATGCAGAATGTCATTGAGCAGTCTGTCCTCGATAACAACTGGCAGCCAACGGCAGAGTCAGCCGGATACACTCGTCATGCGTCAATCCCTCTTACAATAATAACTATACTACCCACATTAGTACGTTATTTTAGCAATGTTTTAAACTTATTTGTTATTAGTCATAAACAAATAATACGAGCTGCGAGATGATAAGTTAAGTAGTTATTATGTGAATGTCAATTTAATGTTATATTGTAAATGATATTCGAATACTATATGCAGTACGTGATTATAATAAAAAATGCGATTGAGATGTCCTCTTTAAAACATTGACACCAGCAAGGAAAAATATTGTAACTCAGTGTTGCATCGATTTTAAATTTGGACTTAAAATATATGAGTAATAATTAATTTTAATTTTCGAATTATTTTAACATTGAGTTACATTATTGTTCTTAGCAGGTGTTAAAATAATTGTTTTCTTAACATCATCCACATGAAGTAATGAGTGTCATTTAAGCATTATCGTGGGTCTATACTTTATAGTTTTTGTGAAATTTTCTTAGAATTTTATCTGTGCAATGAAGCATTACTGATAAACGCGGCCTCAGAAGACTACATGACGCACATAATATATATATATATATATATATATATATATGTATATATATACATATATATATATGTATATATATATACATATATATATATATATATATATATATATATAAAGATAAATAGAAGATATATATATATATATATATATGTTCAGTACATATTTTCAGTCTATTTTTGATTATGACTGGTCTACTAAAGATCGATATGCAGCTAGATGAATATTATGCAAAAACTACAAATATTAGCAAATCAAAGTCTAAATTTACTAAAAGTCAGCACAAATACTCTGTGCGTGAAATCTTTTACTTATAACATTCTGTACATATATTTATACGTACAAAAATCTTTCAACCCACCATTACTCAGCTAAATACCACAAACCTTTAAAGGTACTATATAGAGTTAATGCTAATGTATTATTTTATTATGTACCAATAGTCATGTAAAATATGATAAAAGGGCGGTATATATTAAAAAAAATTAAAAAAATTGTATAATAACTGAAATTATTTTATAATAAGTATATTGTAAATTGAACTGGGGTAAAATAATGCCTGACATCTGTCTAACAGGATCAGGAATGCAGAAAACGTATCAAAGTCTTGCTGTACTGTGCGGAAGTGTTTCTAAACTTTACTTCCAAACTTATTACAATAATGTTATACGAGAATATGCATTGTTTTGTTCCGCTTTAGTTTGTTGTGGCTAAGTATTATAAATAATTTGTATATACATGTAATGTATGTAATATGTATATATGTTATTCAATTTGATCCCTACACGAAATGAGCGGAATCAAAAAAGGCATATATAGATATAAATCAAAATCAGCAATAAAAATTATAACAAAAAATAATCGATTTTATATAAATTAACACCTCCAGGTAAATTTCTAAGAAATTAATTAAAATTCTAAGAAATCTATTGTTAACTGACACGCCGGCGTGTCCGCGGTCGTGGAGGGATTAATTATTATGTAAATACTACAGATTAAATTCAAGGATAGAGTCTGGAATTAGAAACAAAAGGCTAAATCTTTTTTTATTGAAAACGTACCACAGTTATTTTTATGGTATGAAGAACATTATCGCAGCAACAATAATTTTAAAACCTATCGTTCACACCTGATAAAGAGCTGATACCAACATTTGGATTGGATTTAATGAATTGTAAACATTCATACCATGGCCACCATTTTGAAAATAATTCCGTGTTATAAAAAGTTATCATTAAAGATCTATTGAAACTAGAAGAAAAATATATTTAAAACGCAGTTAACCAGCAGCAAACCAATGTTTCCAATTTTAGTGGATATAATAAAGGCTAGTAGTCCAAATACATAAAAGTTTTATATATTTTTTGCTCAAATATTATTTAGAGTTTATGAATTAAACGCATTACAATACACAAACTCAGAAAATGCCTATCAAAACCGTTTCCTAAACTTTAAACACATATTTCATACACTCTAGTGAAGACAAAAAGCGGCACCAAAAAGTCTGCTCGGTTGTGAATGGGCGTGAAAATACAACTAAAATATATTATTCAATGAGCACGATAACATGCTATTAAAATTTAATATTTAACATATTTCGTTAATATTTTTGCCTTTTACAAATAGGTCATTGTGTGTCACATAACATGGGTCAAGGATGAAGACTTTTTGAAGCGGGCGGTTCTATTGTGTTTGAAATATAAAGTGACATCGTAGTGATGCTCTCCCAAATAAAACTACATTTGGTTCATCTATTTATTATATTTTTACACGGTTATTTATTATTTTTAATGTTCTTATAATGTTCGGACTCGGAAGGGCAGTGGTAGCCCAGTGGTGAACGCGCTCGCTTGAGAAACCGAGTGAAGCGAGTTCAAATCTCGGGTCTCGCACCTCTGATATTTTCATGTGCGAATTATTTCTACCATGATTACCACTTGCCTTACGGTGAAGGAAAACATCGTGAGGAAACCTGCATGTCTGAGAGAACCTAGCAAGTTTTCGAAAGACATGTGAAGTCCGCCAACCCGCACTTGGCCAGCGTGGTGGACTATGGCCTGATCCCCTCGTATTGAAGAGAGGCCCGTGCTCAGCAGTGGGACTTTAAAAAGGGCTGAATACATAATGTTCGGACATTAACACACAGTACCATCTAGTTCCATGGTAAGCTACGAGGCTTGTGTTATGGATACCAGATAGTTGATACACTACACATATATAACTTTAAATACATACATACATATTATATAAACACCCATGACTGGAATACAAACATTCGTGCTCATCACACAAGTGAATACTCTAGCGGGACTCGAACCGGCGACCGCTGGCACAGCAACTACACACTACACTACAAATTAACCCAAACGTGTCGTCGAATATTGGTAATTAAGTTAATTTGTCTATATAATTTACTTAAACATACTAGCATTCGCCTACGACTCTACTCATTTGTAAAGACGTTAAGTAAATGCTTTTCACTAATACTCGAATCCGTTACTCAGAGAATATCCCATTTTAGAAACTAACGGTAGCATAAAAACACACAGTATTATAGTTATTAAGATACCTATTGATACAAGGAACAAAATTATAACTCAGTTTAGAAGCAACTTTAAATCTGGACTTTATATATTATGAGAAATTAATTTCTCTTCTTTGATAATTACCTCAGAACAATATTTTAACACATTTTATTTTTTATTTTATTAATCTGTTGTAAATTTTAATTTGAGTTTATATATTATGTAATTAATTATATAAAATCAACATGGATAGACAATTTTTAAATTATAAACATTTAATTTTTATATACATAATATGTACTCGTTTAAAATTTAAGCTCATTTTTTGACCGTGTTTTAATATTTTACGTACTTTTTTATAATTTTGACTGGTGGTGATGATATCATTTGTAAAATGTTTTTAAATAAATTCTCAAATGTTTATAACTTAACGTGTACAAATATCTAATCTTACCAAAGCATATCAATGTAAAATATATGATGTAAATATTAGATATAAAAATATATTGTTATAAGGACTAGAATTAAAATAAGAGATTTTGATTTATCATTATATATTATAATTTGCAATAATAAAAATTTCAATGCCAATACATTCTTGAAGTAAAATATTTATAATAATAATATTTAGATATACTGGCTTCATTTTGGACATTTTGGCAGATTTCTTTATTATAAGCGTTATTTAGTTTTAGGTGATGTTATGTATATAGTAGGGAACGAATAAGCAATCATACTATATTCTTTGTAGACTGTATTATAAGTACTGCCTGCCTGTAGGACAGTAATGTGTAAATATCAATAAAATCGTTTATTAATATTCATTTGTTTCTTTTTCTATGACATGTTTAGGTTCCAAAGGTTGTCTGGAAGAAATCGCTAATTAGCGATAAGACCGCCTTTTGTGCACACTTTTATTTTTGTTTTATATTTTGTTAACTGTATTTACTTCATTATTGTGGTGTACAATAAAGTGTATATAAAGGGAAAACCAGCTTCGCGGGTTATGCTATATCTATTGCCCACTTTCCAAATCCAGGCTCTTGCTGAGGTTTTTTGACAGAAAAACCAATGACCACATTTTGCCAATAGCCTGAACTGGGATTCGAACCAGGACCTCTGGATCTGCAACCGTATATGCTAGCCACTTGACCAACAAGGCATTAAAAGTTATATACCAATATTATCAATTATTGAATAGTTTAAGTAAAGAAACTTTATCTTGTACCCATAATATAGTAAATTAAAAATCTCTCAATTATTTCAGTTTTATTAAAAATCCAACACAAAAAGTTAATGTCGAGCATGCAATATGATAATATCATTATGACTACAGGTTCGTATGTGAGTTGATAATAATTAATATTTTGCTTAATGTAATTATGATTATTATACGTACTCGTATATTTTTTTGTACATAAAATACAATAAACTTTAGATAAGAAATTATACTTTTCCTTGGAAAGGTAGGAAAGGAATCCATTTAAGGTCTGGTTTTCGTCCGTTTCTCAGTCATTTAACACCTTTTTCTAAGAAACAGGAAGAGATAATAATTCGTAAATAATTTTATATACCTACGATTATACCTACTGTTTATAGACGATTGAGCTTAAAAGAAACCTAGATATGCAATAACCAAGATTCGAGATAAATACAGTATTATAATACAGTTGATGCATTGATCTTAACGGGAGTCCTGTCAAAATATACTTATTTTCATGGCAAATAGTTTACGAGTTAAAGCACTAGTGCTGACTTATACATAGTTGTACTAATTACAATCAACTTATAGCCTTTTACCAACGATTTTTTTATATTTGCCTATTTATTTAGTGATAGCTGAGTTTGCTATACATCATTAGACATTTATTCAGACGTAGAGTACATTTGTACAATTTTCACAAAGAATAGCCTCAAACCAGCATTGAACCTACTCCTTCTACTATTGAAGTCAATTTTAGTCTTATTACTGTAAAAAAAACATTGTTATATATTAATACACAGATATAATATCAACAATCATCGCAAACCAGAAGATAGTCTTTACATCTCCATTCTATAGGCTCATG